ATTAATGGCTTTATTTTTACAGTGTGTAACATGTTGTGACTGCAGTTGGCTGGCATCCATGCCCTGAAAACACAGCGGGATGTGTCTCCAAGGGAAAACAGGCTTCCTCCACAGTCGAAGCAGTCTGGTCATGCGCACTGAAGACAAGTTGTGATTGCACATACGTGCTCTGTATGTCTGTATTCAGCATGCAGTGACGTATAAACCTGATGAGGCGCTTTGTTTCCACTGCATAGCAGAATAGACTCCAGTCATCTCAGGCATTTGCTCACTCAAAAAGACAACAAGTTGAGCCTGCATATTATTGCCCACTGTCAAAGACCAGACACCAAATTAATGTCAGGACTGAGGATAAGTTGTTAAATGATTTAGCAATTCAGTGTGGGCAATACTGACCAGCATGTTGCAGGTTATTTTGGGAATGCCATTCTCAGTCCTCAGAGATGTAGAAGTCTTTTTTAAAGGTGCATCAACTAAGATTTTACACATTGTCTGATAAATCAAGTGACAATGGGACAGGATGCAGTGTCTCTCAGCTATACCCATCCTGTCCACATCAGCCTGCTGCATACAGCCATCCTAGCGAGATAGACAGATCCTTCATTTGTCCCTGTGGGGAAATTGCTGCACAGTCACAAGGCATTTCATCACATTACAGGGTCACAACAGAGACAATCAGAACGTGTGATTATAGTCATACAGCCATTCTCTTCATCAAATAATACAGTGTCCAATAATCATGGGTCAGCTCCTGCCGAGACCAACTGAACATCCTGTACCGCTTGTTTAGTAATTTCATGGCTTGTGGAACAGATGAGAATTGTTTATCTTTTTTTCCTGTTATTCCAGCTTCTCTACCCTGTGTTGTCAAAATATGGTCCACAAGATAGCATCACCTGCCTAACCCAGTGAAGGCTATAAACAACGAAGCACATAGGAGCTCTCATCAGCTAAAAACCCAAAGAGGCCCGGTGGAAGAGGCAACACTTGTTTGCACCGAGAGAGCGGGACAGAGAAAGAGCAAAAACCAGGGTTGACATTCGCTTGGGTCTTTGAGAGGGAGACTGTTAAAAGCAGCCAAAGGACTCAGAGTGGATGTGGTGTCCTTGTGAGCATTTAAGCTAACCTGATTGTTTTGGTGACATTAGCCACCTAGCATGGTCATAATTGTTAGCAGCTTTGTGATCATGTTTAGCAGGTATAATGTTTACTATCATCATCACCTTTGTTTAGTGTCAGCATGCTAATATTACATAACTGGAACTAAACACCAAGAACAGCCATTAGTTTTGTGTGTTATACATTAAACCAAACTGTTATCTGTAATTTTGACCTGATGATGGTGCTAGAGGTAAAGTCAGTAGATCACACAAGTCACAAGGATTGACAGACAACCCCAAATCAGAAAAAGGTGGCACAGTATGTAAAATCTAAATTAAAACTGGAAGTGGTGATTTGTCAATCATGTGTGTCGCATTGAAAACAATATGGCAGCACATTATTTGATTAATGGAGCCATCACAGAAGTGTGAGTGACCTTTGCCAAGGGCACTGACACAACCCCAGACCAAGACAGACCCTGGCTTTTGGACTTGTTGCTGCTAACAGTCTGGATGGTCCTTTTGTCTTTGGTCCAGAGCGACTTCTGGACACTGTTGACATGAGACTTCATTTTGCCACAGTAGAGTTGTAAGCAGCATTTATGGATGTAACTACATATTGTAGTGGCTGACACAGGTGAGCCAAAGTCATCCTGAGCTCATGTGGTTATATCACTTATAGAAGAGAGACGATTCTTGATGCAGTGGCGTCTGAGGGATCAGAGAGCTCGGTCATCCAGCTTAGGCTTGGCCCTTCACACACTGAAATCCTCCAGATTCATTGAATCTTTTAATGATGTTCTGCATCATAGAGGGTGACAGATCCAAATTCTAATAGGAACATTGTTTTTAAACATTTCAATCATTTTCTCATGCATATGTTGGCAAACTGGTGGTCCTTGGCCCATCTTTGCTCCTAAAGGGCTCGGCCTTTCCTGGATGCCACTGTTGTACCAAGTCATGATGCAGTCACCTGTTGACATCACCTGTTTCACATGGAACCATGATTTCATTGTTTTACCTCATCACTGGCCCTGAAATGCAGCCATACTGACTTTGTTTAGAATGTGTTGTAGCATCAGGATTGAGGTGAGAGTTTATTTAAAGCATAAAATGTGCTGCTTATTGTTTTCAGTGTAACACAGGACAGATGATTTATTTAATTAGTTTCAGTTTTAATTTTACATCCTGTCCCAACTTTTTCTGATTTGGGGTTGTAAATATCTGTACATTTCATGACATGGTGCAGTCTGGACCACAGTGGTGAACTGAACAACAAACCAACAGACGGACACTGGTATCCAACCTTACTCAGAACAGTACTACTGTGGGTCTGCGGGGACTTTGTCAAAGAATGACATTGATAATGTCATCAGCTTGGCCTTGGAGACTGCAGATTTGTTGTTACCAGCTGACAGAGCTTCATAGAGTTTGAAGGATGTGGCCATGTCACAGGCAGAGAGGATTCTGTTTAGTTTGACCCATACAAGGGACTAAAGTAAGGCCACTGTATACTGTGTATTGGCGATACAGTTCTCATCAGTCCCCCAACCTTTTAAATCACTTGTGTGGCTAAGTGGGTAATTTTGACTTATGGAAGAAAATCAGAACTTGAATTGAAGCTGTACTGCTTTTGATCACAGTATTTCAAAAGAGCAGGGGGAGATGAATCGTTATGAATGTATAATTATGGATATAAGCCACCAAGTTTCAGCTGAACAGGTCTTACTCATCAAAATGGCAGCACATAGAACACTAAATGTGGACATTCAGCAGTGAGAGTAGCACAGAGGGGCTGCTTTTTAACATTTGTTAATTTTATTTTTGCTAGTATCTGTCTAAGGTGGTTTATCACTTTAAAGTACCCCGTGGAATGTATCTGTAAGCAAAGTTATGTGTGTGGTGTTATGTGTTCTTGTGCACGTGCATAATACAAAACAAAAAGGGAATCCACTTGTAAAACATTTCTCCATAGCAGAGCTATGAGTACCTTTAATTTTAGAACAATATGAAGTGTAAGTCTGCTGGCATGCCAGTTATATTCCTTTTAATATGACAAAAACACCTAATAAGTCATTTTACATTCAATTTTATTGGTCAGGTCTTCCAGCCACCTTACCCTTTTCAAATAGCTAAAGTTCCTTTATGTCTTTAAGATATATTTAATAATCATACAACACAGAAAAAATAAAACAACCCTGAATAACATTGCATTCCATCAGTATATTACACATCTACATACAATGGTAAATAGCTTGAAACACCTTTGGTGTGCACAGTTATGACTATTATAACAGGTCACGTAAAGCGTGGAACATCATTTCGGTCTGATTCAGCACTAAAATCAAGAGCTGCATCCAGAGTGTTGGCTGTAGAGTCATCTGGGTAGAGATAAGAGAAGGTAAGAGAGATAACAGTGGTTCTTGTTTGACAACTGAAATCTGTGCAGCCAAAGACAGTAAGGTCATAACAGTAAGGTCTAGACCTTAGTTTGTAAAGTGTCCTGAGATGACTTGTGTTGTGATTTGGTGCTATACAAATAAAATTTGAATTTGAAATGGAATGCAACAATTATTATTTTTAGTTGTACTGGTGTTGGACAAGGCAAAACGTCTTCTGTGAAAAAGCACAATCAACCAGACACGGAGGCTGATGAAAGGCATTCTGGAGAACATAGGAAACCACTAACTGAGAGAGCGCAGCACTTCATCACTGAGTACCTCCTACAAGAAATGTTGCAGACTGATACTATTGTAATGTTCATACTGTTGCTCGGTGAGGACAAGGTAAAAATATCACAATAAACTTCAAGGAAAGTGCTGAAGTTCTTTAGCTGTTCACTAAGGGGCAGGATGACTTCCTGTTTGCATCATTGGTCTGAATCATGGGTGGTGCTGACATCTATTCAGGGCTTTTCCACCACAGGAAACTACTGAGATGTGTTGAACCATGTAATGCTTGTCCTGGGTTTTGTGTTCAGCCCACTTTACATTCCGGGAGCTGCATTTTGCACCCTTCAGGAGGTAGTACGAAATTCAAGTTCCAGGAATGCGAGGGGGGAGGTGGCAGGTGGGCACAGAGCTACTGCCTGTGATTGGTTAAATGTCAGCGTCTTCACAGCTCAACTAGTAGTATTACAAGCACAATGTGTAAACACACTAATTTATAGGTAAATTACTAGGACTTGTTAGTTTAGAGGTAAAACAGGGACTTCAGCGGGTGAACCGCAGACAAAGCATGTGACAGTAAAGCTGGACTGAAAGAAACAGGAACATGACTGGGCAATGTGTGACATGGTGGGGGGTTTAATTACTTATGTTCTGTGGATGGAAATCTGTTTACATAGTCACACTGTGAGGACTTGATGTCCTTATGGGGACACAGAGTAAGCCCCAAAGTAGTGGTTATGGTTATGGTCTCCAGGAAATGAATGTATGTCAGTATACTGTCCCCTGAAGTGATGGAAATGTGTGTGTGTAAAGTCAGTTGATGTTTTTAAATCTAACATTGATGTCGATACGTAGTCCATGAATATGTGTGGCGACAGTATTTTACGGCAGTGTTTCTCTCCACGAATGACCTTTAAACATTAAGCATGACAAAGAGACCAGCCAGTAGTAAATTCAAACATTTCTTACTGGTGATGATCTGAGCCTGGGTCTGTTCGCTCTAAATTATTTGTTCTAGTTCATTTTCACCATGTGTTTTCTAGTATCAAAACTTGACCATAAATGACTGCGCCGAGTGTGTAAGTGCATTACTTGTGTAACATGTAAAGTTCGATGTTTGAAACATTGTGCACCAGTGTATGTGTGTGTCTGTGTGAGAGAGAGAGACTGTATTCAGTGAAGCATTAACCCTGTGTCGTATAAAAGGCCTTGTAACCAAATGTGTTCTCTCCGCTGTAAGCCACGTACAGGAAGCCGTCTTCATCCTTCTCCTTGTCGTACAGCTGGCCCATGGTCAGACTGCAACACACAGCAGATGCCGCTCTTATTAGATCACACTGAGCATCAAGCACAATTGATTATATTTACAGTACATTTCTAGTATGGGGTTGTTGCTGACATACAGTATATACAGCAGCCTTGGAATCGTTACAGATAGTTATTCATGTTCATCTCGTGTTAATTTACTAGGAGCTTTTAACACTTAACAGGCCCAGATGACTGTAGTAATAACTGTCAAAGAATAAAATGCCTCAGCACAGAAACAGGAGTTTGACTCCGGGCTGCAATGGAGGTGGAACTTAGAGCTACCCTGATTTATAAAAACAGAAAATATTCAAATACTTTGAGTTTGCTATTCAAAAGAGCCTGCTGATGAAACATTCCTCACAAAACAGAGCTCTCAGAAGACCTACCATTAAGATCAATACAGTGGCCACTCTACCCTAGAACCAAGATCCTCCAAATGCACAAATATTCAATGAGGTAAAAAAGAAGCCCAGAGTAACAGTTAGACTTAAAGGAATCACTGTTGCTGGTTAACATCTCTGTTCATGAGCCCGCTTTATGCAAAACGTGCAGAATTGCATGGAGCGTGCTTTCCATGATGTCCACGACATGCAGCACTATACAGTATATGGTGTGAAAGGGGCACTGAACCAAGAGTGGAGGGAGCATCTGGCTTTGCTGTCTCTGGGTCCGGACAGCTGCCATTACTGAGGGGAAAATGAACTCCATGTTTATCAGAGTATCTTCCATGATGGTGCCGGGTGTCTGTTCATGAGCTGAAAGTCAGCAGGAGCTGAGTGATGCAGCAGGACAGTGACTCTAAACATCAGGGTAAATCTGCTACAGAGTGAGTTCAGACAAAGAAAGTCTTTATGCAATGTCCCAGTCAGAACCCAGACCTCAGCCCAGTAGAGATGCTGTAGATGCTGCTGTTTTATTTTTATTTGCACTGATCTTATTTACTTTATTTTAGTCATTTATTGTGATTTTATTTTGCCATGTAAAGTACTTTGGTCAGCTGGATGTTGTTTTAAAGTGCTATATAAATAAATTTGATTTGATAGAATGACCTTGAGAGAACCGTCCACACCAGATGTCCCACTAATATGGCTGAGCTAAAGCAGCTCTGAGAAGAAGAATGGTCACTGTCATAAATTTCAGTGATGATTTCGACCACATTTGTAATCAAATGCAAAAGAGTGTCAGGAACATATTTCTGAGCATTTAAAAATCAATAAAGACAGCTGCATATGATGCAAGATTTAAATTGCGACGATATATAACGTCTGGCTGCCATATGGATTTGTCGGAAATGAGACAGGAGGCAAACTTGTATTTCCATTGAAACTATGCTCTTATAGACAGTTTTTTCTTCTGAGACTTGGTTATAGATTAGTTTACCAACAAGTCTGAGCTTCTCCTGTCAGTTAACCACAGCACATGTCGTTACTGTGCATTTGATACATGCCAGCTCGTACTGCTAAAGAATATAAGAATATATATTTATGATTCCTTTTATGTATAATTCTTCAGTGAAATGTTTTCCCACTGCATTTTGTTAGCTTCCTAGACCCATTCGGATGGATGTATGTCACAGAAACAGTCTGCGATCGGCTGAGCATTGAACTTTAGCAGAGATAGGCAAACACACCAGACACACAGATATAAAACCAGCCACGCTGTCACAACCTTCAGTGTTTTCACTTGTGAAATGAGACTGTGATGATTGAAAACATTTCCAATAAAGTACAGATCTCACCTTCATGTGTTGTCCTAGTGGATTTTGTTGTCCTTTTTCTCCTCGTTCTGGGCAGCAGTTTACTAAACAGTGCCGTAGGTCCTTATACACCACGTATTGAACAGTGCCACCATTGAAGTGGGTATTTTCCCCCTGACCACAGGGGGAAGTGCTGAGCAAAGGGCTGCTTGGCACACCAAAATGAGGAGAAGAAGACAAGGTAGCCCCAACCCAACGGGTGTAATGTGCACTGGCTGGCAAAGAATAAAATATAATAAACAGAGGTTCAACTAAAAGAGAGTCTCAGCCAACTGACAGATCTCGACTACTGATTGAACTAGTCGACTTTCAGGGGGCAGCCCTAGGGGGGTTGGTCAGTTATTAAATCCAAGGGTTCAATTAGTTTTTCGACCAGCACTGTGAATGATAATGGGTGTGTTCACTAAAGACACAGCTGATTGTTTTTTCAGTAGCTTAAGCAAACTCTAGATATCTACAGTATGATGATAACACATTTTATGACCAATTACTAAAATAAAAAGTTACCCCAGATGGTTCTTAGAGTACCTTTCTTATCACTGTAGATTAACTGAATAATACAAGACAAACACGCTTTTTTCACAGAAGATATGGCATATTTGATTTGATTTATTCTTTCAAGCACGTAAAGACAGTTGATATATCAACACACATAATTTTACACATATCCAACAAATGCTAATCCAATATCAATTTGCTTATACCTAGAACATGCTTGAATGGAGTAGGAAGAAGTCAGACTTATCCAGTCCTACCCCATGACATCATCTTACCATCATTGGTTTGCAAGCAGTATCTCTACATAAATAATTCTCTTCTACACCACACAAGTAATATACTAAAAAATTATAACAGTGTTAACATTCTTACATAATTACATTCTTAAATAATTATCTTCTACACCACACAAGTAATATACTAAAGAATTATTACAAAGTGTTAACATTCATACACCACACCCACAATGTTCCATCTAATTAATCATTAAGCCTGTTCTTGCATATATCTTGATTGACACATACCTTTATATTTATGTTTAAACTCGTCAATTCTATTACTATTTTTTATGTCCACACTTAAATTATTCCATAGTTTTACCCCACTTATGGAAATACAAAATCTTTTTTTGGTTGTACGTATAGCATGAATTTTTAAATTTAACTGACCCCTTAAATTGTATCCCCCTTCCCTTTCATTAAATAGTTTTTGAATTCCACCAGGTAATAAATTGCTCCTGGCTTTATACATAAACACAGCAGTCTTATATCCCACTAAATAAAAATTTTAACAATTTAGACTGTAAGAAAGCTCCAATGGTATGATCCCTGTACCCCATCTTATGCACAATTCTTATCACTCTTTTTTGTAATATATACAATGGTTGAAGTGAGCTTTTGCATGTGTTTTCCCAGTTTTCAACGCCATACTC